ATTGACAAATAGATCGATGATGATAGATAGACAAATGTTATATCGAGATGATTAAATGCAAGAAGGAGAGGGTTTATAAAATCGGACTACTGGGGAGTCATCAAACAATTAATTTATCTCTAAATATGATCCAAGTAAAAAAAAACTCAATTTAAATGAAACAAGCCTCTCTGGATAGCATTCAAATATGATTTGAAAAAATAACCAGTAGGTGGTGGTGTGAAGAAACACTGGAATTCAAGATCTAGAATAATGTAAAGATTAAAAGTAGTTGTGCCACTGTGACGAATTATGAGCCATGTTATTCAGTGTCTTTCAACCACTGGTCATGGTAAACATCCCAACGCCAAACAGATAACCTGCACCCACTAATATGATTTAGTTCAACACTCAATGACTTAATGGATGTCTTAGCTTGGTCACACCTGGCTTTCTGTCGACTTACTTCTACTTCAGACAACACCATATATCGAAGTGGGAGGTTGGTTGGTCATGTGTAATTCATGGGCCAACCATTTTAGTCGATAAAAATTCACCTTATCAACCGATTAACTATCTTTAACCAATACCTTATGTTTAACCTCAACATTATTAACTCAATTATTCCAGAATATGCGAACAATATTTTCTATGCATAAATTACACGAAGTATACAACCCTTTAATTAATTTAATTTTCAAAAATAAAGGTTTTCGACATAGAAAGATGATATACTATCTTCATTTTATTACAAACACGGAATGAGGTATAGAGAGAGAAAAGAAAGAAGTAATAAACAGATAAATGACCAAATCGCCACAATATAACCTTGATTACAATATAGGAGTGAAATAACGTGGATAGATGATAGTCTACTAGCATAATGTATTAAAACTCTCTAGTCAAATTCAGCCACAATTCAAGACCAGTTCTTATTCAATTTAATCGCCAAGAAATTCACTATCCCCCCATTAAATAAATTACTATTAATTACATACAGCAAAAACTAGTTGACCAAATCAGCACAACAATAGATAAACAAACATACGTATCTTCTTTCTCCTCAAAACAACTAATGAACAATTACAAGCCAATTAGTTTAGGGCTTTTAGAACTATGAATACTATTCAACTTCTCGAATAGGATCAGTTATTATTAGGTAAATAAAGTAATGTGTAACATCATAAGTCTCATTATCATCTACTAATAAATATTCCATGGGTAGCTACACATCGAGTAATCTGAAAGTTGGGATAAACAAATGACAAAAATCGGTGAATTAAACGGAACATACTATTATCCCTATTGCCATTATTTATTAATATTATTGTTATCCTAGTTGTGTTTTTTCAAATATAGTAAGTATATCAAACTGATGGAAAACAAAATCCTTGTCTGTTGCCTTCATCTTTCACATACTAGCCAATAGGAAAATGGATTGTGTCCACATATGCACGCGTATATATATATATATATATATATATAGAGAGAGAGAGAGAGAGAAAAGGTTTACGCAGAAGAGTGAGATGATCGTAAAACTAAAAGGAAGAAAGACGATCCAGAAGGTTGAGTGACAACGAAAAAAAGATAATAACACTTTTAATACTGTAACTGTACTGCTTAATGGCTAGCTATCGAAGCTTTGAGCTATACACTACGCCAAATAAAAATAAGCTAATCAATCAATCAGTCTCATCTACTCCCAAACTAATTAAAAAAACCCACCGACGTGAAAAGTATATACTTTCTTCAAATGCTATTAATTTTAATAGCATATAATTTGATATTGTTTCATCTATTTGGTTATTTTCTTTCAGGATTGTTAAATAAAAAGAAGTTACAATTCATTTTATTTCAAGGTGTAAACAGCCAATATTGAATATTTTAAGTTGAGGAAAGAAAATAATCATTAGAGAATAATATTGAACACATAAATCCTACTGAACAAATAAAATATATTGTGGGAAGGGGGTTTCGTGGAGATTTAGTAGTTTTATATAGTTGAGATCATGAGTCAATTGAAGCCAAACCACCATGGAAAACCTGGAAGCACTGGACAGTCGTTTCGTCCTATTGTGGGACTCCTCAGTAGTGCGCATCCACGATCCCACTTCGAGAGATTCGAACTCAGGACCTACCAGTCTCGCGCTAGAGCACTTAACCGATCGATCACTGAGCCGGTATCTAACGGTATTAATGTCTAATGTGAAATATGATAAACTGTATGAATAACTTGATTTAAGAGATAATTTATACTATATCATTTATACTGGGCTTATTAGAATTCACACAAAATACACAAACACATTGTTTCTGTCAATGAAAAAAATACACACGGTCCGTTTTTCAGTTTATCTAACCACAATTCTTTTTTTACATCATTTAGACAATTATCATTATAGAAAGACTAATAACATTAACTAATTGTTAAAACAGATGACAGGAACAATATCATACTTTCCTCGAAATAGCTAAACGTTAACTGCTTTAAATTATTTATAATCAGAACTTGGTGGAATTCAGTTAGTCATGTGTAATGACAAACATACGAGTCAGTTCAAATAACCACACAATGTTAGCACAGTGAGATGAAATTATCAAGACAAATGAAGGAGTGATAGAAGTAGACAAACAGTATCAATGGTAACGTAAATGATTAGGTATAGATAACATGATTCAAGAAAGAATAAATTCGTGGGACAAAAAGTGTAATTCAAAGCTAATCATGTTAGTATAACGGAGGTTGTGGAAGCAGCTAATTTTGTATTTTCTTATAGCCATCAAATCCCAACTTAGGGGTCTGAAAGATGTGTTCGTTGCGAAGCCCAAAGGTTCGATAAGTACCAGTGCCATGGATATGCATCATCAATGAGTCTTATCCTAAAACGAAACAGCTCACCAGTGCTTCCTGATTTTCAACGATAGTCTAATGAAATGCCATGGTGTAAAACGAAGAATTATGTCATTAATTTATTTAGTGGATTTTTAAAATTATGGTGATATAAATACATGGAAGAAAGTTTATGCAACCTTCCTAGTTGATAGATCAAACTGAAACTTTCTGAAAAAAATATTATCTTTATAAATTATACTCTAATTGAGGTAATATCTTCCTGGTGTGACATCTTAGAGCGACTGATATGATGCTGTTCAAAACGTTTTGTGAAATTCGTATAAATTTCTACTTGTACCAACTTTATGTAATAACTCGCTAGATATACACACAAGTCCACTAAACTAGTATCTTCTATCTTCAAAAAAAAGAACGACAGTAAACCAACCACTCAACGAAAAACGACACCTAACGTCACCAAAAAATTGGATGCATAAACTTGGATCTTTAAGTATAAAACAGGAATGGTCTTTAATGAAAAAGCTTTGTGACTATCGGATATTTGTAATGCATAAGAATAATTAGCATCTTCAGTGTTGCTACCTTCTCAAAAATGAGAAAAAGGGAAGGTTGGAGAAAATTACCCATAAAAGTCAGTACAACTTATATACGGGTTTCCAGTGCCGTTAGGTAAAGTTTGGAAAGTATAGAGCTAATAATACAAATAACTGACCACTCACAGAAGTGGTGTGTATGATCAACCTCAAACACTTTTTTCTTGTTTTGTGATTACACCCCCAAATGCCCTGGTACGGCCGAGAGTGGGGAGAGTCACCCCTCCCTCTCGAAATGCTCTCATATGGCCAGCGAATATATAGCCTCTGCCAGGGAAGTCCTACTCACTGCCTTCTCGTGGCGGGGGTGTTGTTCACAAAAGTGAGAGGACGAAAAGCGAATGTCCGGCGCTTTAACCGGGTTGGTGGACACGGAAAGTCCACCTACGGGAGTTGGAAAACCCTGATTCCAAACCAATGGTGCACATGGGCTCCAGTATCCTGATGGAACGAATGAAGTATGAACCAACTGTTGGTCACCGGCTACCATGGGACTGCATCTCCTGACGATGCTCCACTGCCTTGTGGATCAGACATTCAGGTCAAAGGCTCGGGGTGTGGCCCCCTAAGAAAACCACCTGCTTCAGTCTGGGCACCTGGGCAGTATCACAGCCCTCACACAAATCGAATGAGGTTTGTGAGGCGCATATTTATCTGGTGCTTCCTTGTACCAATATTTATGTGTTTAAATAAAATAAAATAAAACTCTGACATGATTATGAACACTAATCCAGCTTTCAAACCAGGTGACCATCAATGGTGTCAGTATGGGGTTGTGAAGATTGTTGAATTTCTTTGAAATCATGAACTTAAGTTAGACCACCATGTGCTCAATGGTGAGTGGCTTCGAGAGGTAATTCTCGGATTCTAGTGAGAAACCGTGAAGAGTGGAGTAGATCCATATCAGATGTGAGGCACTTCCCCACCGAAGACAATGGGAGATGGTCGCGCAATTTCGTGGATTGGTTGAGGTTAGAAATTAACACTGTTGGATGGCGACTCAGTGGTCTTGAGATTACGCGTGCGACCGACGATCCTGGGCTCGGTCCCCACGTGAGGAATCGTGGATGTGCACTGCCGATGAATTCCATACTGGGTCAAAACAGCCGTCCAGTTCTTCCAGGGTTCTAATAGTGGTCTAACTTATGTCAGTTCGTGATTTCAGTGAACTTTTATAGTGCGTTTAACCAGGATATGTCAACCAATTGAAAACCGTTACTCTAAAAAAAATGGGAAAATTTAGTGGCTGTTTAGAAAATTTATAAAAAGTTCTAATACTTTTAAAAAATGGATGGAAAACATCATGATTCAATTCAAATATTGAAGTAATGTGAATATCATAATACGTTGTCAAAAATGATAAAATTGTATCGGAAATACTATCTTCATTGTATGTGATACCGAATGAATCAACATTGTTTTACAGTTTCGCCATTATATAATTTTCTTCCCAACCAAGATGAATATACTGACAACAAGGCACGTAAATTTACGAGAAAATATTATAGGTTTATTAAATAAACAAAATGCCATGAAGAGAACTGAGTATTTTTTTTCAAGAAACAATTACTTACGAGTGTCTGTTTGAGAAATCCTTTTGTTCGTTTAAGTTTTGGCATGCCACATCGACGCGCTCGTTTATAAGTTTTTTCAATCATCGGGGTCATTCCAGGATTTTGTAATTCGCTTAGTTTAGTGAATTCCTGAAGACAGGAAAAAAAGGAACATTTGAAAACTTCTAATGTGGATGATATTCAAAAAAAATTCAGCAATTAAACTTATTAATTACCTAGTTTTTTTAACATTGGGCTTTATTTGATGACAATAATAAAGCTACAATATAGATCTCAGCATCCAATATCATTTCAAACAAAAAGCTAGTCATCATATTACATCATATGATTAGTAGACAATGGATACTGTAACATTCCCACAACAATCTAACTACTAAGTTATTAACATAATTAAATTTTACAGGGGGAAAGGTACAGTCTAGAAGAATATATTGGTAACATTTATAATCGTTACACTTGTGACGTGATAAAAACTGCCAATCAAAGAGCAGCGAATTATCGATTGGAACAGTGATATACGAAAACCATACGAGTAGTTTAGAGTACTTATCGGTCCTGCCTTTGCCTAGCCCAGCCGGTTAAATCCAGAACAGCCTCTGCGGTATGAATCATTATATTCCAGACACACTGAGTTTATATACTAATCAAACTGACCACATCGTACCATAAAATAGTAAATAACATGTCTACAAGATTTAGCCAAACGTGGCTATGAATGTGGGAGGCAGTAACAAATAGAATAGGGATAACTCAAGAATGGTAAATCATATAATGATAGTCTATAGGTCAAAATAAAGCTTATAATAAGAGGGACATGAATTATTAGTTTAGTTATTTAGCAATTATATGATAAAAAATATATGCATCGCATTGGTTCATAAATAGGTCCCAAAGTTACCATTTATTATCTTTATTGGGGCATAACAACACTTTAATCGAATTTCACAGTATCTGATTGTATTGGTATAGGGTTGTGGAAATTGTTGAGTTTTGATTAAGGTCATGAACCGATCAATGTTAGACCACCATTGAAAACCTGGAAGCACTGGACAGCCGTTTCGTCTTAATATGGGACTCCTCGGCAGTGCGCATCCCGCCTGCAGGATCGCAAATTGGCACTGCTGAGGAGTCTCATACTTGAACGAAACGGCCGTCCAATGCTTCAAGGCTTTCAATGGTGGTCTAACACTGATCGACTAATGATCTCTATCTGATTATAGCTGTCACCAACCATATATCAATTTAAGACAATATCTTAACGACCATATTCACACATTTTCAGCCAAATACATTGAAAAAGTTTTATCTTGTGGTTGTAATTTTTTAATTAAGTTGATGTGTGTGATTAGGATCTTACTCTAAATTATTGTATGAGTTGTGAATCATGTCTGAAATAAGTACAAAAGAGAACTGATTTGCTTTCTATTTTCGTCTTCTGATTACCCACTGGGTTGAAAGGGGTTTGAGGATCAATAGGCGTTAAGGTTTCAATTGTTGTTTACTGATCATTGTCACAATTGACACTTGTGTCACCGGTCAACTGGCAACAAACGTGAACTAATCGACAATCAAACTAGGAAAATAGGTTATAAAACTGCTTTCCTTTGGTTAAGGCCCGATCACATGGGACCCAATGCAACCCAAGCAAACAATACGTTGTTGTTTTCTTTCGATACAACAGTTACTCAATGCCTTCAATCAAAGATGACACGGCGGTAGAAAATAAAGTTACAAAGAGATGGGATTGAAGTGTAGATTCTTAACATGGATTTTGTAATGCAATTAGAATTGGTGACTAAATTCACCTTTATTTATTTAATACTCGTAAAATGTGATACAACTGGGTACTAAAAAATAACATAGACCAAATAAAATAGACAACATTGAGAAGAAATAAGGAAAGGAAGGGAAAGTACAGTCGAAATAAACCAAAGAGGGATAAAACATAATGGAAGGTGCTATTGAAAGAAAGAAAAACAACGAAGAAGAACTCTGTTCAGCTAACACAAACCCTCTCATTTTTATAAATATAAAACACACTGACATTAGTTAAGCTGTCAACACTACGTCAAAACACACCGCCGAACCTCAGTATTACTATTATGGTGATATGGCGACAACAATAGTCAAACGTATAGTTGCTGGGCACCCTCAGATCGGTGATTCATGTTTCATAACGAATGAGCAAAACTGTCCTCACTGACGCATTGTGAACGTGACTTTTTACAGCCAAACTAATATAAGTAACTAACTGACTAATTAAGACAAATTGATGGCTAAAGGTGATGTAAAAGAGAGTAGACAGTCAGGTAATGAGAAGAAATTGTTGATATAAGTTAATATGTAGTTATCAATTACATCTGTAGTAAAAAGGGTTTGACTTTAGGCAGTCAGATCATAGGTTAGACTTTCACTTTTCATAAGTTTGATTTAGACAGGTATTTGGAATCGCTAACTAACATATAAACAAAATGGTTCAAAGATGAGTATATAATTCTATACTTATTGAATGAGTTGCATTAACTTTAATTTAAAACCAACAACTACTCTGTGTGTGTGTATTTAAGATACATTTATTTATTGAACCTTAATGCAGTCAAGTAAGTAGGTAAATCACTATATCACTCAAAAATCTATTTAAAAATATAAACTACGCAAACTAATTGTCGTATTTTAATTATTTTTTTTACCAAATCTATTCATATATTACAGAAAATACAGTTTAATGGCAATAATATAATCATATAGGTGGTCTTGAATTGAGTTGATTTAAACAGAGATAAGAAGCACTGTATTAGACAAAATAATTAATTGATATCAGTTATATATATATATATGGCAACAATTATAACAAGAAAATGGAAACAAGACATCTCTCCCTATGCTTTATATCATTTTTCTTGAACATTGTTAGTCTTTAATTTTGCTGACATGATAAGCCAAGACAAAAAAATAGAACAGAATTGATACATATACACTTATTTATCAATTTAAATTGTCACATTCTTGACAAAGTGATGATCGACACGAAGAGGAGGTAAGGGGATTAAACAAACAAGAACGTTATTGAGTTAGGAAGATTAAAAAAGCGACACGTTGAAAGATTTCCTCAATTCAATATAAAATAAAAGTTAAAACAATGAATATTTGATAAGAACGTTTTTAATGGTGTTGTTCCAGTGAAAGTGAACGGTGATTGGTTAATGGTTGCAGATAGAGAAATAAGAGAACTGTGATATACATTTCGCTTCAGTGTTTGTAACAATATAATAAACGTTGGTTTAGACCTGTACTGTGCTCTCAATCGGTCTTTGGATACTCATGTGGTCAGGTATGTAGAGCCAAGTAAGCAATAAATACTGAATACAATGCACATTGTTCATCCAGAGCATTAAGTATTGTATAGATATCACCGGGGGATTCAAACATGATCCCAGGATGGATACATTTCTGATGTCGTAGAATTTTTCTCACAAAAAATGGATGATATGAAATTATCGCTTGAGCAACAGGACAAGTTAATTAAATCCTTGGTGGTGAAAATGTCTTTATCATACAAACTAGTTTCAGTCACCAATGACTGCTGATCTTATCACAAATTCGACCAAGTTATTATTTTTGATCTGTACATTGAAATTATTCCTAAGGGTCAGTCAGTTAGTCAGTTACAACGTAGGACCACGTCCATATATGCATTGGTCCAAGTTTCCACACCTCAATTAGCACAAGATGAACACCACATTCATAGAATTAGTTACCTCAATGGTAGTAATATATAAAAGATTATGTATAAGGATATGGTACAGGACGAAAGAATTAGTTAGTACAAAGATATAGAGCAATTTTAATCTCAATTTAAGCGAAGATAGAGAGAGTATACACCTACGCCACCCAGAGTCTCCAACCATTGGTTACGATAGTTACGCGTATGGTAGTGAGAAATTGAAGCCATTGCGACACATATTAGGTCATAAGAAATGGAGAGAGTCCCGTCAGCCATCGATTAGCAGATTAACTAATCTAAAATACATAGTAATACAGTCTCACTGGATGAAAAGTCCTCAGCAATGTGGTTTTTGAAGCGTTGCTAGTAACATTTCGAAGAAACATGACGAAACGTTAAACAGGGATAGAAACCCAAGATAAGTGAATTTCCGAAAAACTTATATAATGCAGAGATGGATGGTGGCTAGCAGGATGCACATTTCGTTCTATTCGGGATTCGTCAACTTGATTTACCTGCATATCAGAGTAGTGACTTACTGGCAATATCGAGACAATCAGCGAAGGATTTACATATGTCAAAAGGAACTGATTACTTGCGGTCCCAAACACCAATCGGAAGATCAAAACCAATATATATGAATTAAAAATTTAGTTATATGATGTATTTCAAAACCAGTTATCCTTATTATCCCGTAATACCAAACACAAAGAATGTAAATTAGGTTAGACTGTGTGCCAAATCAGATGAACGAGTTAATAATGCTATCGCCATCATTTGCGTTATCATATTTTTAAAACAATCAATATATCGAAGAATGTGCCGCATTATCTCGTTTCCTCAACGTTGTCCGATGAAGTGAAGTTTACAAAGGTGTCCATCTCAACGAAAATCAAATGTTCACATAAGTTAGCCACACTACTATGTTAAGCGGTGAATCAGTTGCTAACCCCCCCTTGCCTGTTTCTATTTGAGTGACTGGGTAGTATTATTAACCCTCACATTTAAATAGGTTCGAAGCCCATTACATTAATCTGTACCCGGTAAATGGGTTTACTACTACTGTGACTAGATTTCACAGTTGAGAAATCGGTTTATTAACACACAGTATCAAAACCAAAATAAACAAGCACAAATATTTTCTAAATTTCAGTAAGAAACTAAAGGACTCTTAATGGATGATAATACAAAAGTTTGGGCAAGCAAACATTTCTAGTAAATTTATTTCCTACAGTCAGATAGTTCCACTTACATATTCTAAACATGAATTAGAACCTTAGTAACCAGAAATGTGTTACAGCAGAAAATAAACTGTTCCTGAATTCAAAATGTAACAGTAAGGAAGTTTTCGAACCACAAGTGAACACTTGCCGTAAAAGTGCATTCCGAAAAGTCACCCTAATAGCTAATGGACGTCTGTAAGCTAGTATAAATGTAAATATAAGACTTTAAGTCATCCATTTTGTGGAACAATTGCTCGAACGTAATAAGATGGGAGGGGTTTGAACGCAATATACTCTTCAAACAATTTGGAAAAACATGTGTATCAAAAATAAACCCCGTAAGCAATTAACTTAATTAGTGAAACATGGTATATATGCAGCCTCGACACGAGTTACTAACGGTCGATAAACAGTTGTCTGACAATAGAAATTACGTACTTGTAGTATCTCAATGTGTAAAGATGAGTTTCTGGAATTTTATAATCTCGCTTCTTCAGAAAATAAATAATTTTTACAAGTTTACACACGTCATTACTAAGCTTCATAGAAGCTAATCCATCACTTTCTTAAGAAATATAACCCTCGAAATGAAATCAGATAAACCCCTACATTCAGAAGTTTAAAATGTAAACCTAGGAACCATTGGAGACATTTTTTCAAAATTGTGAAAGTATTTGTGATTACGGTTTGAATAAAATAATTACATAGCATTTCAGACGGTCCACGAAATAGAACTTACCAACATATCATCCATTGTTTTGAAAGATAAAATAGCAAATCCATCAATAAGGACTTCATTGTATTGCTTAGAACCATTTGGTAAATCCATCGGTCTGTCACCTTGCTCCTGGTTCTCATTTTTAGTTAATTCCAGTCCATTATCAGTGGATAATTCACTTTTGATTTTTGTGAATAACCCTGAATGCTTCTCATCTTGAGGAATTGTCTTTTCAGTCGAACGTGGAGAAGTGCTTTGTAGCAGGGGATCTACATGCTCAAATGACAGGCACACAGAGTTGGGTATTTCTAATACAGAAGCGATCAACCCGTTCTTTGGAGGATTGTAACTCACTGAGTTATGAGTACTTATAGAACTAACACCAATAAACGATTCCTCTGTTTTATTCTCGAGGTTTTCCACGGCGCAACTCCCTTCCTCTTTACAATCCTTGTGGTCCACTTTATCAACAGTCCCACAGCTTTTTAGCATTACGGACTCAAAAAAGAACTCCCATTAACAATGTGCGTTTTTACCCTAGCTTCTCATAGAAATATGACATGAATTGAACCATAAGTGTCATTAAACTAATCCATTACAAAATATCATTGATGATCTTAATTCCAGAAATGGAAGAAATTGATATGAAAAACTGAAAAGCAACCCAGTCGTTTAAACTTCCCACTCATAATCTGTGACACCTGTTCTTAATCATGTGTACAGAAAAGACATAAATTGTTTCTGGGGCGAATGAAGTCCATTTGTTATTGTTTTGAAGTCTTAAATTCACTTCGTTTGGCTGTTTTTAAAGGAAACGTTTCTATTATATTATTCATCATTGATTTGAGGAATGATGTTCGACATCTTATGATGTTAAATCATATGAAATGTAATGTTACAATCCGCTTAGCTTTCGTCACTCCATTATCCCTAACTCAACTAAAGTGGATAAGGGAGTGGCAGTAAATAACAGCTGATAATCACTCCGACTCATCAAGCTAATGATTGTTTAAAAAAACAGGTGTACATACAGCTATCCCGAATAGCTATGAGACTATTATACACTGTTAAATCAGGAAGAACGTTTTAAGCAGTGGTTCGACAGGCCTCGTACTATCTTTCGGTCACATACTATCTACAAACAATCTGGATAGCAGATCAACAAGTCTCCCAACATTTAGTGAAGTTGAAAAGGCTGTGGATAAGTTAAGGCGTAGGAGATCATAGTGTAAAGATTGAATAATCAAAAGACCTCTGGGTTGAATGTTCAGTTGTAGTAGTTAAACCGACTGAGATCTTAACGAGGACATGTTATCAGTCTACATGTTCGCCAAAAAGCTTTGTGTCAGTATCCGCCTTTAAAAGAGGTATCGTCAAAGTACATTAATCTTGTACGGGCTCTTCACCCGAACACCACTAGTTGAGTGAGTGCTCGTGGTGAACTTTCATCAGAACTGCCAGTTTCAAGTGGTGTTCAACAGTGTTGTGCGATTTCCACATTTCTGTTTAACTTCACTTCGACATTCCCTGACAGATGATGCTTCCATCCCTTTTAGATAGAGTAATTTGCTGACTGGGTTTGAGTACCCTGTTGATATAGTTCTCCTTCATGAAATCCTGACTTATGCTGGATTTTCTGATGGCCTTAGGTGGGGGGATCCAAGAGTGTTTTGGATATCATTTTCTCCCCCTCAATGCATTAGTCATTTCACTATATTCTTCATCAATACCTGAATAATTGATGTGGAGTGGAATAATTGGGTCCACAACCTCTTTATTCACCATGTAATTTCTATGAACCCTAATTAATTGGTGTTCAGCAAGATGTCGGCGCAAAATCAAAAGGCTCAGCTGACTACACCAGCTTTCAGCACATGTGATGTAAGCGTGGTATGTGTCTTCAAATAAATGAATGAGTACATAGAACAGTAGTTTTCTCCGTTCTACTTTATGAAGTGTAGAACATAATCATAAAAAATATTCACTGATTGCTATCATTCAGTCATAAGTGTTTTAGTATGTTGTAAAACCATCATATAAGCGGTGTTGTCAGGCCTACGCTGTGACAGAATGAACGCTTTAAAGAACTGCCCAAAGAGTCATATTTGTCACTGTTTTCATGGCTAGAACTTTTCGCTACATTATGCACGCTATCTTTCGTTTTTGTATGAACTAATGACTCATTTTCACTTGATGTCTGCCTGATTTCGAATTCCGAATACGATATATCGTTCGTGCTCACATGATACTTCTTGATTAAATTGCGTTATTTCTAGGCTTTTAGTTTGTACAATAATTCAAATACTTCTACTCATCACATTGGCGTCGCCATGGAGCTTGAGATGGTAAAGTTTAACATACATCTAGATTTTGATGCTTTTGAGGATCACATAAAAAGTTTCGAAATATGGGCTATGACTAAGGAAGATAAAGAGGATGTCACTGTTTTGGCTCACTTTCTTACATTCATCAGAATAGAAGCCTACAGCTTATTAAGAACTTTGGCTTTCCAGTAAAACCTATTTCAGCTCCCTATGCGACTCTCAAGGAACCAATACTAGACCATGTGAAGTGTAAAAATTACGAATATGGTGAGGAAAATCTCATAAAATGATTCGTCAAGACATCAGGAATTCCATTACATTACTACGTCGTCACAACCCAATGTGTCCTCAAGGCTATGCATATAAGAATTCATTGAATAGTTGCGAAGCAGGCCGCGAAGATGAGCACAAGTTTGGTAACTGTTTGTCCTGCAGCGAATTTCTCCCTCTTGCGCTCACTGATCAAACTGTCAGACTGGGATGAATTCTTCTCATGTAATAGTCTGACAGATGCCATCAACATATTCTATTTGATTGTTAACTCTTGTCTAGACTCCTGTGCACCAATTAAGACTTACAGGATTAGTAAACATCACGAATTATATATACCAGCTAAATATCGTAATAAACTAAGACGCCTAAAGAAACGTTATTTTAAATCTAACGACTTCACGGCAGTCACACAAATAACAATAATTTTTAACCAAATTAAAGAGAAACATAGGTTAAAAGCCATCAATGAAGAGCTATTAGCACTACGTACTAGCTCAAAAGTGCAAAACCTAATCCACCTTTACAATAAACGTGCTAAATCAACTCAAAAGGTTTATATACCATGCATCCTGCATAATAATAGTTTTATATATGACCCAAAAATTATAGCAGACCTTTTCAGTGGTAATTTTGCAAATGGCAAAGAATCCATAAATGGCTCTGTTTCTAGAGTTATATGCTTGACTGGTAACTCAATTAAATCTATCTCCTTCACATGTCTGAAAATTAGCAAGGTTATAAATAACCTCAAGTTTTCGAAAGGTCACGGTGCAGACGGGATTTCATCATTTCTCTACAAATATGGTGGTCCAGATATCCAACTTCTTCTCCTTAAGCTGTTTACTCTCTCTATGGAATCAGGCTCTTATCCTAACCGTTGGAAAACCGCGTACATCATACCACGTTACAAATCCGGAGATAAGACTGACATGAACAACTTTCGGCCAATAAATATTACTCCAGTTATCTCTAGGATTATTGAAAGAATTATTAGTGACGAACTATCCAACTATTTATTGACTGAACAATTTATTGATGATTCGCAACATGGATTTCCTAAAAATCGATCCTGTATGACATGTCATTTTGACTTCTTTAATTTAGTCTATTCGCTTCGTAGCCAAGGATATCAGGTATTAGTGCTATACCTGGACATTTCTAAGGCCTTCGACATGGTCAACCACCAACTTCTTATAGGTAAACTCGCATCTTATGGGGTCCAAAACCCGTTACTAGCCTGGTTTGATTCCTTCCTCAGCAATCGACATCAAATAGTTAAAATCAACTCTTCATTGTCGAACGCAGTCCCTGTTAGAAGTGGGGTAATTCAGGGTAGTGTCTTAGGTCCTTTGCTCTTTTTAGTTTTCATTAATGATATTTGTGAGTGTTATAGTGTGGGTAAGTCCCTTTTGTTTGCAGACGATCTTAAGGTGGTGTACACATTTTCTCCACATGAGCTGAGCAATATTCAAAATTGTATCAGCTCGCAGCTTAACAAGGTAGCACAGTGGTGCTCGAAATGGCAACTGGAGCTCAATACAGCTAAATGTGGTTGGTTATGCTTCGGTGATACATCACTCAACCTCAATCTTACCATAAATGGTGAAATGTTATGTGGGTTACACACAGTAGTAGATCTAGGACTTACGTACTCCGACGACTTGTCGTTTACTGAACAGTTTTCTAGACTCTGGAATAATTTACCTCAAACTATCCGTATGTTAAACTCTCTCCCATTGTTTGTTCGCTCAATTCATGCTTTTCGCTCCTCTGAAAATGCATTAAATGCTCTAGCGCCTGCAAGTGTATCTTACTCCACAAGTGAAATTATAGGAACTTTAAATGTTTAACCACTTACTTGTTATCATTGTTTTGTTGTTCCGTGCTCTTTGCTTTAATCTTACTTTCTCTAGTTGTAGATAATTAATAATAACTCGCTCTCGCACTGGAAATAACCTTACAGAACAATGTTGATCAATCATCAGGCTATCCACTTAATAAAAAATGACAAGTTCCCTGGTGTTGCATTGGCTTGCCATGACATATGCCATATTCAAACTATTTATCAATTAGTAAACCAGCAAACATAAAACTTTCTTATATTTCATGTTTGTTCTCTACATTAAATGTTGATTTTTATAACAATCTGATCATGCCTGTAAACTGGTGTGAATTCTGTACATATTATTTTCAAAATATATTATTATTATTATTATCTGTATTTCGTAATTTTAAATGTTTTAAATGTGGCAAAATTGAACACATATTAGCAGTTTCCAAAACTACTGTTAATTCCGCTGCAAGTAATACCAAATTTTGTAATTCCGATTTTATCAAGTTGAGTGTTTCTAATTATCATTTATCTTTATCCATGACTCCGAAAAACAGTATCGAGCCATACAGCAGCCCAGAGTTAAATGACACTCAGAATCATTGTGAGACAAGAGTTTCTAGTTAATCAACTTCTCATCGGATCTCCATGTAATTGTACCAAATATGGTTTGCCTTAACTATTCATATATCTCTGACGGAATTTCTTAGGAAATTGAGGGAAATTTGTTAAGTGAATTAAATCCTTATCTAAAATCCGATGCGGTTTTGATAGATGTTGATTCTTTTAATGATCTATTACTCTCTAGTGATATTCCCAAGAAATAAGAAAATATCTCACAAGAATCAAATCCTGATATCATATCATATATTATTTGTCCTCATAATGTAATTGGGAAACTTGCTAAATGTGAAGCAGGTGTACTAAGCGGGCTCGGTTGGGATTACAATTCGGATGGTTGCATATCAGCTCTTGTTTATCCTTATCATGAAATAACTTCTAATGGATCCTCTAGTCATTGTGAAAAGTATGTTTTAAATGAAGCCACATTATTCAGAACTTGA